AGAATAGACTGGACAAAAGTAGAAGTGTAGGAGACAAGTGTGGTACATTATTATAAATAAGCAGAATACTAAGGGCAGGTAAGTGAGCCTGTAAATCTCTATAAGCCAGGTAGCTATTGTTGCATAAACAACCTCCAAACTTAGTTACTTAAACAGCAGCCTTTATTATTTCTTAAAATTTTGTGGTTGATAACCAGATGGATTTTCTGCTGGTCTTACTTGGAATTGCTTTTCCAACTTTAGTCATCTAATAGCCAGAAAAATGAATAATCCAAAATGGCCCTACTTTCAAGTCTGGAAATACTGTTCACTTCCCATATGCCCACAGTAGCTGTACCATTTCTTCACAGTATGATGGCCTCAGCTTTTCAAGAAAGAAAGAAAGAGGTGGTAAAATCTTTTAAGGCCTAGTATCTGCAATGGCACAGTGTCACTTCAGCCATGCCTATAACAAATCCTTAGCCTCCTCAGATTAAAGCATGGGGAGACAGACCTCACTCTATATGGAATGAGTAACATCAACACTTTTCTTTAATTTTTGTTTCTATTAATATATGTTTGCAGTACATAACATCATATTCATCGTGTAGAGGTGCTATATAGACATAACACATCTTCATTCTCTTTTCTTGAAAGGAGAGATGAAATAAGGGAGTTTTGAATTTTTGGCCAGCATTACAAAATATCTACTGTACTGCAATTCAAGGAGTGTTCTTTAATTAGAGAATTCATTGACGTTTTTGAATCTGTGGTTTAATCATAGCCAGTCTGTGTTTAAATAATGAAAATATGAACACATAAGTAAGTCACTTAAAAAACAGACTTTTATTTGGTAAACTCCAGTTTATCATTTTGTACTTTTATGGATCATGCTATGCAAGAAATCGCTGCTTACCCTAATGTTAGAAACTTTTCTCATACATTTCTATTATAAGTTTTATATTTTAGAGTTTTACAGTTAGCTCTGTTATCTTTCTGAGATGAGTTTTGTGTATATTATTTTCACACTGTCTTTTTTTTCTTTTAGATGCCCCATTATTCCAGTGCTCTTTCTATTTTATCTATTCATCCGCTTGTCTGTGTTAATACCTAGTCTTGATTATTATGAGTTTGTAACAAATCTTTCAATTAGTATTAATCCTCCAACTTTGTTCTCTTAGTAAATGATTTTGACAATTTAGATTATTAGATCCTTTCATTTCCATGTTGACTACTGTATCTTTATAATAAACATTATAATTAAGTAATATTAATCCTTCAACTTCCATTCTTTTACTAAGTTACTTTGACAAGTATGACTAATGTTGCTGGGTCCTCTAATTTTTCATTGAATTTTAGAATCAATTTATTAATTCTAAAATTCCAAACCTGGGATTTTGATTGGAAATGAATTTATAGATTAGTTGAGATAGAACTGACACTAAGTCTAGACTTTTGAGCCAGGAGTACTCTTAATTTTCCCTAGTATGTAAAATTGGACATTTGAACATTTCTAGGAGGAATATATTACAGTGTTCAATCTTTAATATAATTTTTCATATTTGTCCTCTTGAAATATTTTGGTGTTGTTATAAATGGTATTATTTTTCTAACTTCAATCTCTGGTGGTTTTCTTCTAGTATAAAGAGGAAGAATTGGCTCTCATATATTTACCTTAAATTCTGTGATTTTGCCAAACTCACATATTAGTTGTAGTAATATATTCCTTTGGATTTGCTACATAGATGGTCATATGAACTCAGAATAAAGATAGAAAGATATAAGACTGAAAACAACAAAGCACAGACTGAAAACTAGAAGTACAGTTGGAGGTTTGAGGCTTCCCTGATAACTGACATCTGAATTAGGGAAAAAACATTGTAACTGTCATTACTGGTTGCTTATTCTATATATAGTCAAGTGAACTATTGCAAGCTCTTAGATAACATTTGAATTCTCGAACATAAGTAACTTAATTTAATTATCTTCTTTTCATTGAATTTTCTGGCAAAGTATTACAGTTATGCATACATTGTTTACATTATTAAATACATCTTATTTTAGGTAAAATTTAAAGAGAACTAATTCCATAGAAATACCTATTGTTACCATAGGTTTCTTTGGTTATATCAAGTGCCACTGGAATAGCTTTATAATAGCACTGCAATATTGCATAGGGACAGCTGAGCAAATAAACAGATGTGAATCAACTGTTTTCTGTGTGCTGTGGCTTACGTAAAGTTCCAAAGCAATTTTGCTGAACCATTTAAGAGACTTGGAGTTAAAAACGTGAAGAGTTCTTACTGGAGAAATAAAGTGATGAACACCCTACCTTTTCTCTTGGTCTGTTTACCTGTGTACCTACCCTTTCATCTAGCCATTCACCAGTTTATAAAAAAGAAGATATAAGACAGTTGAGTATTCATGACATATAACTTAGGCAAATAGGAAACTTATCTGCAAAGGCTAGAAAAGGGAAATCTCATTCTCAAACACCGCACGTAATTTAAATTTTCGTGGTTGTCATAATTCTGCTGCCCACCTGTTGTAGACAGAAGCAAGCTATCGTGGGTGTCCAAAAACATATACTGAGCTTTTTGAACAACTTTATAGAAGCGTAACTTACACACCATCAACTTCATGCATTTTAAGTGTAAATTCAGTCATATTTTAACATATTTACAGACTTGTGTAGCCATTATCACAGTCCAGTTTTAGAACATTTCCATTGCCACATTTCCACTGTCACTCCCAGGAAACCACTAATCTGCTGTCTGTCTTTTTGTGAAGATTCCACATAAACAGAAACATGTGTTCTTTTGCATCCAACTTTGCTCAATAAGTTTTTTGAACTTGTCTATGTTGTAACTTGTATAAACTAGTAGTGGATTTCCTTTCCTTTCTTCCTTCATTTGTCTCTCCTTCCCTTCCTCCCTCTTTTTCCCTTCCTTCTTTTCTTTCATTCCTCCCTTTTTCCTTTCCTAAATAATACTTCATTATTGTTAGTCCTTTAGTGATGCTGTAACAAAATACTTGAGCCTGAGAAATTTTTAAAAGTATGCATTTATTATTCACAGTCACAGGCACTGTGATGTCTAAGGTGCCTTAGACTTAATGCCTGGTAAGGGCCATCTGTATCTAAGATGGTGCCTTGTTGTTATGTCCTCACATGTTGGAAAGTGGAAGGGTAAGAAGAGTCCTAGCTAGTTCTTCTTAGCCATTTTATAAGACTGCTTTTCCTGTTACTGATAACTTAATTTTTACTAATGATTTAATCTCTTAGCATTGCTGCACCAGGGATTTAAGATTCAAAATGAATCTTGGGGGGCTGGGGATTTAGCTCAGCGGCAAAAGCGCCTGCCTGGCAAGCACAAGGTCGTGAGTTCGGTTCCTGGTACCGGAGAAAAACCAAAAAAACAAAAAAACAGACCATTGGATTTAGTGACGTAGATTTACTGGTGACGTGGACTTGTGATTTTTTGGGAGATAAAGTGGTAGAGTGGAGGGTTGAAAG